CTTGTGTGCTGCTGTGAAACTAGAAGCTATGTCCCTGATCATTTAAATACCAACAGGTTCATCCATGGTGCACAGCTTTTCAGTGGAACCTCCAGACTTGATAGGAGAGGAGAGGTAGATCCTTCTGAATGGCTAGTCACTGAAAACCTTATGAAGAGCAGCAGCACATTGTCGGATAGAGTACCAGAAGATGAAGCCCTCAGGTTGGAAGGCACTCAGAATGTGACTGGGGAAAAGCTGTCTCCTCTATGTAGAGCTGACCTTTATGATGTGAATGAATCAAAACTTTCGGGACCTTCATTTGATGGTGGGCAAAACTCAAAATGAGAAGAAATAACTGGAAACTTGGAATGTCCAAAGTATGAATCTAGGAAAATTGGCCATTGTCAAAAATGAAATGGAATGCATACAGATCGATAGGCTAGGCATTGTTCTTGCTAAGTACTATTGAGTCAGTTCCAACTCATAGTGCCCATTTATAGGGATTTATATGTATAGGATTTTCAAGGCTGCAGATCATTGCAGGAACACAGAGCCTCATCTTTCCTCCTTGAAATAGCTGGTGGGCTTGAGCCATTGACCTTGTGGTTCACAGTCCAGCATTTATCCACAGCACTGAAGGACTGCTTACTCCATGTAGTGAGTTGAAATGAACTGGTATTGGCCATTTGAATATGAAAATCATATGGTTACTACACAGGGAATGACAAATTGGAGAGAAACACCATTGCATTCATCGTCAAAAAGAGTGTTTCAATATCTACTTGAAGTACAATGTTGCCTGTGATAGGATAATATCCATTTGCCTACAAGGAAGACCAGATAACACCATCATTATTCAAACTTATACACCAACCACTAAAGCCAGTGATGATGAAATTTTTGAAGTATTTTACCAACTTCTTCAATATGCTGAAATTGATCAAGCATGCAATCAAGACTCATTGATAATTACTGGTGATTGGAATGTAAAGGGTGTAAACAAAGACAGGGAGGATCCATAGTAGGAAGATGTGGCTGTGGTGAAAGAAATGATGCTGGAGATCGCATGATAGAATTTTGCAAGACCCCCAATGATTTATTCACTGCATATACATTTTTTTCAACAACTCTTCTGGTGTGGTGCTGTGGGCTAATGCATCAGACTGCAAAGTCATTTGAACTGCAAGGTCGTGGTTCAAGCTCACCAGCTGCTTCTTGGAAACCCTATACAGGGTCGCTATGGGTCGGAATCATCTCAATGGCACTTAACAACAACAACATACACGTGTACCTCACCAGATGGAATACACAAGATCAAATTGACTATATCTGGAGGAAGACACCATTGAGATGCTCCATAGCATCAGCCAAAACAAGGGCAAGGGCAAGGGCAAACTCTAGAGCAAACCATTAATTGCTCATATGCAAGTTCGGGCTGAAACTGAAGAAAATTAAAACAGTTTCAGAAAAGCTAAAATATGACCTTGAGTATATCCCACCTGAATTTAGAGACCATCTCAAGAACAGATTTGATGCATTAGATACTGACCAAAAGCCAGAAGAGTTGTGGGATGACATCAAGAACATCAAATATGAAGAAAGCAAAGGGTCTTTAAAAAGACAAGGAAGAAAGAAAAGCCAAAATGGACATCAGAAGAGATTCTGAAACTTGCTTTTGAGTGTAGAGAAGCTGAAGCAACTGGAAGAAAATAGGAAGTAAAAGAGCTGAACAGAAAATTTCAAAGGGTAACTGAAGAAGACAAAGTCAAATGTTATAATGAAATGTGCAAAGACCTGGCGTTAGAAACACAAAAGGGTTTCTCAAGCTGAAAGAACTGAAGAAAAAATTCAAGCCTCAGTTAGAAATATTGAAGAACTCGATGGGCAAAATATTAAATGATGCCTGAAGCACCAAAAGAGGATGGAAGGAATTCAGAATCACTGTACCCAAAAAGAATTGGTCAGTGCTCAACCATTACAAAAGGTAGCACATGATCAAGGCTGATGGTATTGAAGGAAGAAGTACAAGCTTCCCTGGAGGCATTGACAAAAAAAACAAAGCTCCAGGAATTGTTGGGATACGTATTGAAAGTTTCCAACAATTGGAGGCACTCACTCATCTATACCAAGAGATTTGGAAGACAGCTACCTGACCAACCGACTGGAAAAGATCCATATTTATGTCCATTGCAAAGAAAGGTAAAATCCAACAGAATGTGGAAACCATCGAACAATATCATACTCAAGTAAAATTTTTCTGAAGTTAATTCGGAAAATGTTGCAGCAGTATATTGACAGAGAACTGCCAGAAATTCAAGCTGGATTCAGAAGAGGATGTGGAATAAGAGAGACAGATCATTGCTAATATCAGATTGGATCTTGGCTAAAAACAGAGTCTCAGAAAAATATGTCTTGTACTTTCTTGACTATGAAAAGGCATTTGATTGTGTAAATCATAACAAGTGATAGATAACATTGAGAAGGATGGGTATTCCAGAACACTTAACTGTACTCATGAGGAACCTGTACATAGATCAAGAGGCAGTCATTTGAATAGAGCAAGGGATACTGAATGGTTTAAGATCAGGAAAGGGGTGCTCTATGGCTGTATTCTTTCACCATACATAACTCAATCTGTATGTTGAGCAAATAATCTGAGCAATTAGATGATATAAACAAAAGCATGGCACAGGTATTAGAGAAAGACTCGTTAACAGCCTGTGGTATGAAGATGAAATGACCGTAATTACTGAAAGTGAAGAAGACTTCATATACTTACTTATGAAGATTAGACCATAGCCTTCTGTTTGGATTGCACCTCAATGTAAAGAAAACAAAAATCTAAACTACTGAACCAATAGATACCATATGATAAACAGAGAAAAGATTGAAATTGTCAAAAACTTTATTTTGCTTGGATGTATAATCAATACTCATGGAAGCAGCAATCAAGAAATCAATAGATACATTGCATTTGGCAAGTATGTCCCATAAGACCTCTTTAAAGTGTTCAAGAGCAAAGATGTCACTTTGAGGACTAAGGTGTACCTGACCCAAGCCGTGGTATTTCCAAGGGCCTCATATGCATGTGAAATTTGAACAATAAGGAAGACAGTAGAAGAAGTGATGCTTTTGAATTGTGGTGATGGGAAAGAATATTGAAAGTACCATGGACTACCAGAAGAACACATCTGTGTTAGAAGAAGTACTTAGAAACCAGGATGGTGAAACTTCACCTCTCTTTGGACATGTTTTCAGGAGGGAATTAGTCTTGGAGAAGAGTATCATGCTTGGTAAAGTAGAGGAAGACCCTCAGCAAGAGGGGTTGACACAGTGGCAGCAACAATGGGTTGAAAGATACCAACAATTGTGAGGACGATGCAGGACCAAATAATGTTTCGTTCTGTTGTACATATGAGTAGGAACCGACTTGACAGCATCTAAGAACAACACACTCTAAAAGTCCCACGGGTACTCAGTTTAGTCCAGTAAATGAGGAAACATAGACACCTAGAAAGGCTAATGTTACTCAAGATGTCAGTTAATTATACTCCTAGGATTTGATATCAGATTTCCTGACTCTGTGGCTATTCCAGGAGAGATTAACCTAGGGCCCTGTTGTCTGGTTCCACATCCTGATTCTGCTGCCTGTTCATTATATGACTTGCACAAGTTACATAGTCCTGCCCTGTCTCCGCTTCTTCAACTGAAAATAGGATGATAATAGAGCCTCCCTCACGCTACCTTACACCTCATTATTATCGAGTTGACCCTGACTGACAGTGTTGTCCAGTTCTGTGTCACCCTCAAATTGCTGCCTAGCACTCCAATCTGTCTCCCCAATGATTTCCCACTCCCTCATTGAATCTTTGTTTCACCAAACATGATATCGGCCTCCAACGACTGATCTTTTCCAACGATGTGTCCAGAGCAAGAAAGTTGGGCAGTGCTCCGCTGTGATCCATAAAGATCATCAATGACTAATTTTCGGAAATGGATCCTTCTTCCTAGTCTGTCTTAGTCTGGAAGTTTTGTGGAAAGCTGTCTACCGTGGATGGTCCTGCATGTGCTTTGAAATACCAGTGGCATAGCTTCTAGCATCAGGTCTGTTACCTAGTTAGGGTTCTATCCCTATCAGTCTGTCACCTGTTGTTGTTGTTGTGAAGTGCCGTCGAGTCGATTCCGACCCATAGCGACCCTGTATAGGGTTTCCAAGGAGCAGTTGGTGAGCTTGAACCACCAACCTTGCAGTTCAAACGACTTTACAGTCTGATGCATTAGCACACAGCGCCACACCAGGACTGTCACCTAGTTAGCACTGTATTAGTGTTTGCTTTGATTTTGTAATTAAAGGAGCAGCACAGAGAGATAGGCAGGTGACCAAGCTACTAAGTGGCAGCGTTGGAATGTGATTCCAAAGCCTGAAGACATGGTGTACACCAGCCTGAATCCCCTGGATCTCCCCACCCTCCAATCATGTTTTCCAAATTGTAACTAACTGGAAATGCAAGGAATCTGCAGGAGAAGATCAACAAGGCCCTTTTAGAGATCTGCCCTCAAGTTCAACCTGGAGGACGCCCTCTTTCCTGCCAATCAAAGACCAGTGAAAAGCACGAGACGGGAGGGGTGGGAGCCCAGTGGCCTGAGGAAGGGAAAGAGAGACAACAGTGGAGTGACCCCACCCCCAGCACATCCCCAGAGTGAGGGGAGGGCTGCCGCAGGGGTGACCTCCCCTGGCTCCCACCCTCCAGAAAACAACACAGCACAGCTGTACAGCAGCAAAGGTAGAGGGAGACCTCAGGGGCTTGCTGGGCTGGCCGTGCTGGAAATAATCTGCCACTAACCACCCTGCCCCTCGAGGAAGTCCAAACACAGAAACCTTGGAACACCCTTGGGCTGAGCATTTGGACAATCCTCTTCCTCCCTGGAGCTGTTGTGGTATTCTAGAATACTTTCAGTTTTGTTTCCTTGTCTGCAAATAAAAACGAAACTATGAAACTAATCATAAAGACCAGACCATGGAGGGAGATGGTCAGACCTCAGAGAGAGATGGCCAGACCCTGGAGGAGGACGTCCAGGTGTGCCAATACTGGTAAGAGAGTGCTTTCTCTAGCCCCCTGCCCTGTTGGCCTAGTTGGGGGGAGGGGGGCAGGCTTAATAAACAGAGGAGAGAAGAGAACCAGTAGTCAAATTTTCCTGGAGGAGAAAGATGGGTGCTGTGGGCAGGGGTGAGGGGTGGTCACCATTGCCATACCCCCCTCCCTAAGATATTTCAGATTTTCTGAGACAGTCCTGAAGTCAAATAAATGTCCAGGCTAATTGTATCCACTGGATTACTCCTACTGGTCAGAGGCTGGGTCTGAATTTGGGGTTCTGCTAACATGGTCTTCACACCAATCTTTGAAAGAAAGGCACCAAATGAGATTCTCCACAACCATTCTGACCCCCAGGACTGGAGAGGGAGGTGTGGGAGGGGATCAAGGACCCCACTTCTGGGAAGACCTGTTTGCTAAGAAATCCCCTGCTTGTGACAGGGACCCCAGTCCTTCCCAAAGTGCTGTCCTCTTCTTTCTGTCTAACAATCTTAGTCAGGACCTGGGTGCGAAATACAATTCCCTGTTTTACACCATAAGATAAGCCGGTTTTCCTTTATCTCTTGACCCTACAGCAAAAGAAATGTGGCCTCTGCCCACTTCACCCTCCATGAGGTCCACTGCATGCGGTTCCTAGTCATCTGCCAAGAGTGTGAAGAGCCAGTCCCCAAAAAGGAGATGGAGGAGCACTTGGAGGACAAGCACAAGGAGGTGAGGGGTCAGGTTGAGCATTGGGTGGGAAGCCAGAACCCATCCTGGCTGAAGCCACTCACTGGACTATCCCAGTGAAAGTCAGGCAGCCCCTCTCAGCCTCAGGCCTCACCTGAGGGATGGAAGCAGTCCTTCTGCATTTCTCTTACTAAAGCCAGCCTACACTCGTGGTTTTCCATTTGCTTTATTGTGGCAAAAAGAATGCATCCCCAAACATTCACCACACAACAAAGCCTGTGATCACATTGATGATGTGTGTCATGTTGTATCACCATTATCACTATCAACTTGCAAAATATACCACCAGCATAAACTCAATGCCTCCCAAACAAAAATTCCCCTCTCTCACCCTTGCTGTAGTTGCTAAATGCCATCGAGTTGGTTTTGACTCATATTGACCCTGTATAAGGTTTCTGAGGAGCAGCTGGTGGATTTGAACCTCCAACCTTGCAGTCAACAGTCCAGTTTTTATCTTACAACGCGAGGACTCCTCTCTCACCCTTGGTAACCATTAATGATCTTTGTTACATAATATGTTTATTATATACTATGTTTGCTCATTTCATCTAAGTGACATCATACAGTACTTGTACTTTTGCAACTTATTTTGCTCGGCATGTTTCTGGGGGTTTATCTGGGCTGTGGCATGCATCATGGTTTCATTTCTCCTTATAGATGCTTAGTATTCTATGGTGGGTGTGTACCACATGTTGTTTATCCATTCCTCTGTTGATGGACGACATTCCAGCTGTTTCCATCTCTTGGGTATTGTGGGAAGTGTTACAATGAACACGGTGTATTCCCTTCACATACCATAGTTATATCCTAGGACTGAAAGACTGTTGGGTCCTATGGTAATTCTACATTCAGCTATTTATTATTATTATTTTAACTTTTTATTGTGTATACCGAGAAGTTTTACAGAGAAGTTCATCAGTTTTACATTAGCAAATCATATTCTTTATTCCATCTCAATGATTGCAATCCTTCCCCGTAACAACAGTCATCCCACTTCCCCCCTGTGGTTCCTATGTCCATTCCACCCTCCTTCCCATCCCTTCCCAACTTTGTCCTTAGGGAAATGTTGTCCTTTTGATCTTGAATAATTGACCATTCCCTGGTGAGCTACCTTACTAGTGTTGTGACCTGCTATGTTCCTATCTGAAAATGGGCCATGATGCTGACTGAGGTCCTCTCCAGATCTGAAGGGTGGTGGAGGGCCATAATCTCAGGTTCCTCTGTCCTCTTTCTGACCAGTGCCGGTGGGTGCTTTTTTGTTTCTTTTGTTTTTTAATAATTTTGAGTTTTGTTCCACATTTCCTACTGCTCTATCCAGGACCTTCTAATGTGATCCCTTTCAGAGCCGTTGATAGTGGTCCCTGAGTTGTGGAGACTGATGTCCCTTTAACTCCAGTTAAGGTGCTTGATTGTTTTGTGGCTATTGGCCTAGCCACTGGGCCTAGAGTTAACAGTGATACAGCTAGATGGACTCACATTGGGAGAGGCATGAGAGAACTTCCAAACTCGCAGATAGAATCCATTTGTCCTAGCTTGTATGACTTGCTGGCCAGAACTCGGTCAGATGAAGATGAACAAGTTTGATACAGGGAGCAAGCGTAAATTGCTACAACTTGATGAACTGGACTTAGCTTATGGATGAACTTGCCCAAATTTCCAAACGACAGGGATGTTTTCTTCATATCACAAATCAAGCTTGCCTCCTCCGTACACTAGGTTGATAGGGGCTAGCAACTTCGGCTTCGGCTATCAAAATTGGGGCCCAATAAAGTCCTGGTGTGATGCTGCAGGATATGCTCTGGACCTCAAGGGCAGTTTGAGCCACAAGGTCAGTGGTTCAAACTTACCAGCCGCTTTTCAGAAACCCTATAGAGGGCTGCTATGAGTCGGAACCGACTCAACAGCACTTAACAACAAGAAAAAACTTACTGGTTTGGCCAAGGCAATTTCGTTTCAGGAAAGGCTGGATGTTCTGTTGAAATTTGTGAAGGGAAGTAAGAAAGGAGAATCTAGGAGGTAGTCTGACTCAGCGGCTTTTCTTGCCTGTGGTTTCATCAATCTCTCCCAGGACCCTGTGTCTGTCTGGAAAGTCTAAAACTCAGGCATCCATGTCAACTCAACCGGTCCTGCAAACATTCTTAAACCTGAACCCTGTTCTCTAGGAGCTTACAGACCTAGACCCAAAACACCGTGGGCCAAGGCAGATGTGGGAAAAGGCAAAAGTGCTGGATTGAAACCCATATTTCTCTCTGTCTTTAGGTTGAGTGTACTATGTGTCATCAGAACGTGCAGAAGTATTTACTGGATGCTCATGAGGTGAGATTCAAATGTGATTTTTCCTTTACAGACAAGCAGATCCAACCTGGGAGGAGACAATTGAGAAAGGAAGAGAAGTCAATAACTTCTCCCCTTGAACTTTCTCTTCTTGACCAAGTTGGCTCTGAGAGCAATGGAGAGTTAGCTCACCACAGGGACACAGGAACACAAGTCCTCCTGACCCTAGACACTGGTCAGAAGGGTACAAGCATACATTGACAGAGAACTTCCAAAGGTTCAAGCTGGATTCAGAAGAGGATGTGGAATGAGGGGTATTATTGCTGATGTCTGATGGATCTTGGCTGAAAGCACAGAATACCAGAAAGTTGTTTTCCTGTACTTTATTGACTACACAAAGGCTTTTGGTTGTGTGGATCATGACAAGGTATGTACAACATTGCAAATTATGAGTATTCCTCAACACTTAATTGTGCTAATGAGGAATCTGTACGTGGACCAAGAGGCAGTTGTTCGAACAGAACATGGGATCACTGAATGGTTTAAAATTAAGAAAGGTGTTCAACAGGGTTGTATTCTTTCACCATATTTATTCAACCTGTATACTGAGCAAATAATCCGAGAAGCTGGGTTATATGAAGAAAACTGTGGCATCAGGATTGGAAGAAGACTCATTAACAACCTGTAATATGCAGATGATACAACTTTGTTTGCTGAAAGCGAAGAGGACTTAAAATACTGTTGAAGATCAAAGACTTCAGTATGGATTGCACCTCAGTGTAAAGAAAACAAAAGTCCTCACTACTGGACCAATAAACAACATTTTATCAATGGAGAAAAGATTGAAGTTGTCAAGGACTTCATTCTTCTTGGATCAACTATCAACACTCACGGAAGCAGCAGT